CACATTAAATAGAGTGTGCAACGTTCGTGCACCATTATTTTTCCAAGAAGCTTTGGGTAAATTGTCTGGCAACAAACACCACACTAAGATTGCTGGATTGACCTACATTGTAACCGTGAGCCCCATGTCCACGCTCTAAACTATCTATATAAACATATTAAGACCACTATAAGACCATAAGACATAGGAGCAGAAGTATGCCATTCAGCCCATCCTACTCTGCCATTCAATGAGATTGTGGTTGATGTGATCATCCTCTACTCCACATTACTGCCTTTTCCACAAAACCCATGATTCCATTACTGCTTAAAAATCTGTTATCTCAAGCTCTCTGATAGGGGCTAAGAAGACTTCCAAAGTACTTATTAAACCCTAATCCAGGAAAGTTTGAATCCAGTACTGTATTCCCAATACAGTTCAACAAAGCATATACTGATAACTAACTGCAATATTTTAATAATGACATACCTGCAGGTAGCTTGTTCTCCAGTATTTTACAGAAGCCAAGGTAATGTGAGTTATATCCAGGTACCAATTGGGAATCAGTAAGAAAATTAATCAATAGTATTTTTAACCACATCTTTAACCAATTCAGTGGAGTCACTGTGAATCACTATTGCTGAAGAAGTTCAGTATTAGAACTGCTGACGTTTTCGATGCACAGTAATAACATGGATGTAGAGTTGCAGGGCACAATGCTTAAATTTGCAATTACAAAACCTGTGAGTGCAAGCAGCAGTAAGAAATGACAAGACACTTCAAGAGGACATTGGCAGGCTGTTGCAATAAGCATCCACTGCAATAATGGTTCAAAATTAGCTGAGAAACCTGGGAGGCATTCTGTTTGGAAGAATGAAGGGAGCCGAATGGTACAATGTTAAGGGCTTGCAAGAACAGAGAAACCTTTGGGAGTTTGTGCACAAACCTCTGAATGGGGTTAAACTGGTATTCATCGAATCCCTACATCCCAACCAGAGCAACCCCCTCCTATCCCTGGAAGCCTGCATTTTCCATGGCTAGCCCACCTAACCTGCACATCTTTGACTGTGGGAAGAAAGCAGAGCTAGAGGGGACCCACACAGACATGGGGGTGAATATGCAAACTCCACACAGTCACCCAAGGGTGGGACTGAACCTGGGTCCCTGGTGCTGTGAGGTAGCAGTGCTAACCACTAAGCCACTGTGCTACCCACAATCAAAGCAATTAATAAAGGAAATTGAATTCTGGAATATATAAGAACACAACTAGAGTATAAAAGCCAGGAAATTCGATATAAGACACCTATTTGACTGTAGATTGAATGTTCAGTCAATTCTGGGCACATTTTAGCAAAGAGTTGAAGGCTTTGCACAGGACACAAAAGGAATTTAACAGAAGGGTTCCAGAAATGAGGAACCACCGTTTTGTGAAGAGATTGGAGGAGATGGCCTTAGATAAAGTTAAAAGCAACTTAAGATAACAATATTCAAAATCATAAAAAAGATTCGCATAGTGCAAATAAAGAGAAGATACTTCAAATGGCTGAATGGTCAATTCAGGGTAGGGGTTTAAGATGATTTGCGAAAGAATCATAGGTGACATGAGGAACTGCTTTGCAGACCAAATGGTCAGGATTTGGAATTCATACCCTGATAGTATGCCGGGTACAAATTCAGACATAACCTTCAGGAGGTAATTCTAAGAATGTGTGAAGGAAAAAAGTGGGAGAAGAGTGAGAGTAGGACCACACCTTGGAATTGCAGCTCTAAGCTCAATGGGCTGAATGGCCATGATTCTCTAAGTACAGGTAAAGCACAGAATCCCTACAGTGTGGAAGAAGGTCATTCAGCCCATTGGGTCACCAACCCTCCAAACAGCATCCCACTCTATAACCCTGCATTTCCCATGGCTAATCCACCTAGCCTGCATAACCCCGGGCACTATGGGCCAATCCACCTAAACTGCACATCTCTGGGCCGTGGGAGGAAGTCCACACAGACACAGAGAGGATGTGCAGACTCCACACAGTCACCTGAGGGTGGAATCAAACCCACGTCTCTGGCAGGCAGCATTGCTAACCACTGAGCCACTGTGCCATCCTATCTCTAAGTCATGTCAAGTTATAGTTCTTCTACTGCTGACACTACTATCTCACTATCAGTTATGTCTAAGGTAGTAGCCCAGTGTTTTAATTAGTTCCAATTTCCTTATTTCAAAATGGACCATACTTCTAGTGAAGGAACATGAAAGCTATTAGCAGGCCAATCAAGTGTGATTTTGCTTTTATCACGCTATGGTTAGTCAGAGTGTGAAAAGTGGACACAACTGTATATCACATCACCCTGCCACCTGTTAAAATGGGAAATATATCAGGTCTGGACTGACAAATAAAGTCTATGTACTTGCTGGTATCTCTCAGTCTTCCTTTGTCTCTGCATTGTGCTCCTGACAGCTGGCTGTAGGGAGCCCACAGCAAAATTTTTACATCGAAATCCCACTTCAATGGCGTCACATTGACATAAACTGGGCCAGCTGCCTCAGTTCCTGCAGAGTAAAACTGATTTCTGTAAATTGTCCACAAAATATTCCCTGATGCAGCTGTTTTAAAAATCATAAAACACAGAGCAAGCAAGTGATGAGAGATATCAATAAGTGTACAGAGGTCACGTAAATGCAGACCTGAATGGAACTCAAATTGAATTACATTCCACCTTTAGGAATGACTTGGCATTTTGTCAGATTCTTACGGAACAGTATATCTTACAGCTGAAACACTTGGATATCTAATCATTGGCAGCATTTTATAATCTAAGATATTTGGCTCAATTTAATTCAAATACACCATTACGAAATTTCAGATTGCTTGGTAAAACAAGCCTACACCCATTGGCGACAGTTAAAATCTTACTCAAGAAGAAAATTCACCAACTTTACACTCAATGTTGCAAACCTCGAAGTGAATTTGATACTCTGTTCCAACATGAGATGTTAGTATTACACAAATCCTGTCATTGATGCTATAATTAATTTACAGCCAGCCATTAACTTCCCAATTGCTCATAACTGACATCAGCAATTCTATTGCTTCGTTTGTTAATGCCTAAAAGATGTTGCTGAAGCTTTTTGTCTTCACTTGTCAGTACAAACACAAGAATGCCAAATTTCACAACAATTTATACTAAGAGAGAAAAGGGTGATGATTATTTGGAAAGTGACAAAATATATCTTCTTTCAGTGAGTTCAGTGTTGCTAAACCACATTGACATTTGCATGTTTAAAATGTATATTTTTGAAACGCACCTTTACACAGGCCATTTTGTTTTCTACTCATTTAGCACAAAAAAATCTTCCTGATTTCTAAAACTATATATGTATACAATACAAATTGTGCTGATCGGACATTCTGGTCTTAAAGAGACAGGACAGGTCATCATTTCCCCAACAACACAATACTGTACATTACAAGGTACATGTTTGTGTCCGTAAACAAGATGTTGCCTGACTTACTTCAAGAATAAAAATAGAGAAACTCAGCAGGTCTGGCAGTATCTATGGACAGAAAGCAGAGTCATCATTTCAGGCCCAGCGGCCCTTCTTCAGAACTGGTTGTCGCTAGGGGGTTGGTACATAAGCTTTTCCCAGCTACAATTAGTTCTGAAGAAACATCGACTCTGATCTCTCTCCTCAGCTGCTGCTGGATCTACTGAGTTTCTCCAGTTATTTCTGTTTCTGTTTCAGATTTTCAGCATCTGCAGTTCTTTGTTTTTTTACTGCAAGATTATGCCTTACAGTCACAGAGATGTACAGCATGGGAACAGACCCTTCGGTCCAACTTGTCCATGCCGACCAGACATGCTATATTAATCAAGTCCCATTTGCCAGCATTTAGCCCATATCCCTCTAAACCCTTCCTATTCATAGATAACAAGGTGTAGAGCTTAATGAACACAGCAGGCCAAGCAGCATCAGAGGAGCAGGAATGCTGACGTTTTGGGCCTAGACCCCTCTTCAGAAAGACCCTTCATTTCTGAAGAAGGGTCTAGGCCCGAAACATCAGCTTTCCTGCGCCTCTGATGCTGCTTGGCCTGCTGTGTTCATCCAGCTCTACACCTTGCTATCTCAGATTCTCCAGCATCTGCAGTTCCTACTATCTGCTTCCTATTCATATATCCGTTTCAGATGCCTTTTAAATGTTGTAATGGTACCAGCCTTCACCACCTCGTCTGGCAGCTCCTTCCATACACACACAACTCTCTGCATGAAAAAGTTGCACCTTAGATCCCTTTTAAATCTTTCTCCTCTCGTCTTAAACCTATGCCCTCTAGTTTTGGACTCCTGAACCCCGGGGAAAAGACCTTGACTATTCACCCTATCCATGCCCCTAATGATTTTGTAAACCTCTGTAAGGCTACCCCTCAGCCTCTGACACTCCAGCCTATTCAGCCTTTCCCTACAGCTCGAACCCTCCAAACCCTGCTAAAGTCCCTGCAAATCTTTTCCGAACCCCCTCAAGTTTCAAAACATCTTTCCTATAAATGGAGACAAGAACTGAACGCAGCATTTCAATAGCAGCCTAACTAATGTCCCACACAGCCACAACACTGCCTCCCAATTCCTAAACTTAATGCACTGACCATTAAAAGCAAGAGTACAAAACGCTTTCTTCACTATCCTGTCAAACTGCGAGTCTATCTTCAAAGAACCATTAACCCGCTTTAGTGTAAATACCTGTTACTAATGCTAACCTTACAAAAAAAAATGCATATTTCAGTTGCTGGGAGACTATTATTTTCAAGCATCTTATTCTTTCTGCTCTTATATTAATCATCATTTGCTGTGTGACAATTTTTTTCATGGTCAGCTGAGTTAGACATTACATACAGCCTGCACTTTTTCTTTAAATTAACCTTGAAACTCAAGATATTTTAGATAAAGTAGACACTAATTTATTGCATCAAATGAGTCAATATTCTGCATCAAACAAACCATACATATAACATACAAATCAAACATGTAAACTTTTTTTTTCCAAGCAGACTGCTTCACAGTGTCTTTCAAAAGAAAAATCTTGTCGGAACAAAATGCTCTGTCTTGATTTAAACCACTGCTCTGTCCTTTATCTGATACCTAAAATGATAACATTACACACTGTCATAGCATTCAATGGGTTCAAATGCCTGCTGAATATTATGGAAGCATTTTATGCACATTTTTAAAAAAAAACATAAAATTCAGATTTTTCAGTTCATTCAACTGATGGAATTAATTAATGGACAGCACATGGTTTTTATTTCCCCCATTCATTGTGGTTCCATCTGGTCTCACTTAATGTGGATGTTGGGTCATCTGAAATGGCATAATGGTTCAGCAAAATGCCTGAAAGGATGCAGAACAGACATCAGCAGCTGGAAATCTTCATTTCTTTTAGAAAATAAAGAACAAACCAATTAAATTGGGACAGATTTAACTGCTCTAGAAATTAATAAAGTATGGAGTGAAAACCATTATCAACTGTAGGACATTGCCAGGAAAGCAGAGCACAAAGATAGAAAGGCTTGTTTGGAAGCACGCTCTATTTACAGGCACAGTACTCAGGCAAGATTAAATTCTGCGACTTAAGACAAAAAATAAAAGCCTCCTACAATCTTGAAGGTACCAGGTAAAATAAAGCTAAAAAAAGTAGATTCTTAAAGTGCATTTTTATGCAATTAGTCAATGGGTGCAAAATTTTGGAATCTACCTTTTCTGTAAAACAATTTTTTTTCTTAATATATTCTATTGAAAATCCCTGAGCCTCATGATGCCAATAGGTAGTCAAGCAGTATCCCATCTAGGGTGGGGTGGGATGGGGGAGATGGGGCAGAGGATGTGGTGGCTACTTTGGCCCCTCTCTCTTTGAGTTCTGTTGTGTCTTAGAGGACCCATATGACAGGAGTGTCTGAGTGCTTTTGTGGGACACGGTTTGTGTGCTGTTATTCCTCATGGTTGTTTTCCTGGCGGAAGGATTGCCTTTGGCGGGCACGGCAGACGGCGGGCAGTGATGTCGGGGTTTGGAGGCGGACAGCGAGGACGATGCTTTGGGCGCAACGCTGCCGGCCCTCTCGTGGCTCTCGCTTGGACCGGCACCAGGACTCGCTGTAGGGGCCACAGTCGTCTCCTCCTCTGGCTCCTCGTTCTCCTCGTCGTCGTCGTCACAGCACAACGCATGGTACAGAACCTTATCGCTGAAACGCACCCGCTCCCTGGTGCCAGAGGTCCTCAGGAGGGCCTTGTGACTGGGGGCACTGCTAATGGTGTCCTCGCTGGAGGTATCAGGAGCACAGCCCTCAGGCCCATTGGGGATCAATCCTCCGTTCATCATCCTGTAGTCCACCTCGGATGGGGTGTGTGGGAGCTCCTTGTCGTCACTTCCTGCCTCCACTTTACTCGTCTCTCCTGGAAGCTCCAGGAAGGAGCAGAACTCCCAACTGTCCGACAGGATGTCAGGAGTCAGGAATCCGAGTTGCCCGTAGTCGGAAAAGGGCCCACATCTGTCGTGGTTTCTTGCAGTGTCGCTGCTGGAGGTGCTACTCATTGTGGCGATTGTCCAGTCATCTGGCTCCATCTCAAAATCAAAATCGGAGGTCAGCTTGTCGATCTGTTTCACTACCTACGGTGGGGAGAGACAAGCAGCTTTGAAAATAATCAAGAAATCAAACCTTCGGAGCACTAATGTTTTTGGAGGGAACAAAATACTTGCATGGATTGGACAGCAATCAAATCTATGCCAAAAATTAAACATTCCTACTATTACAATAAGCCCTGTCTGATTCTTCCTGTCTGTTTCTCTCGTGTCTCCACCTGTCTCTCTCCCTCTTCATCTTCCCCTCTGTCTCTCCCACCACATCCTTCCTCCTCCCTGTATATTTCTCCCTCTCTGTCTCTCCTTGTTTCTCCCTATTTCTCCCTCCATATCCCTCCCTCTGTTTCTCCCTATTTTCCCA